TCCTGTTCAAGCAATTCCATTTATGTCATGCCTTTTCCTGTAGCCACACCTTCCCCTTTAAGCTCACCACCATCCAAAGTCCCATTTTCCCTCTCTAGACTTTTATCATCAGATTGAGATCCTCTCACTTCATCAACTGGCTTTACATTAATTTGTAGCAGTTCATGATGATTTTTCACCTCGCTCTCTAGACTTTGTTTAATAATTTATATTTCTTTCCTCTTTTTCTCTTCCATCATTAGCTGAGCAGCTAGTCTGGCAGCCATCTCCTCTGCCAATCTGAGCCTCATGAGCAAATTATGTTCCTCTTTCTTGTTCACAACCACCTCTTGCTCTATATATATTACCACTATAGCCTCCCAACAAAAGCTTTGCTCTACCCATCCCCATGCACAACATGTTTGTACTGTATAAGCCCCAGGCTCCCCAGACTTACATTGTGTTTGACAGGGTCAGTTTGTTTGTTTTTCTTATGCAGATCATTGTCTCTTTGTTTAGGAACACCTTCCAAAGATAAGAAGTCAAATATTTTCCCTTTGTTCCCATCATCAAACTTATACCATCCTTGTTCTGCAATGGACTCGAATTCAAAACCAATGTCATACATCAACATATCTTTTGTAGTGATTTTAGTCCCAGACTCCCAGCTGGAATCTTGTGCAAGTCTCTCACCCCAAATTTCAATCCAATTTCTTCGTTTGAATGAATATGTTCTACATCAACCTCCACCACAGGCCCCAAAGCAGATCCAATCTCATAGATTCCTCGATAATGTCTCAAAGTGTCAGGCTCCAGAAGTCAACCTCCACTATGGCCCCTGTTCCCAACAGAGTGAATTTCTCAAAAACTATAATTCCACCAACTTGGCCTTGTTAGGGAATCTCATTAAGAAAGGTTTTGGACTTTGAAATTTATCTCTCCATGTCCATCCCCATTAATTTTTTTGCTGAAACCTTGAGCTATAGTACTTTGATTCAGCTGTCCTGAGTAAACAGTTATCAGCGCCTTAGGATTAGCATGTTCTACAATAGAGATGTCTTTTTTTATTTTGCACCAGCAGACAACCAAGCCCCTTAGCACTATATCCTATATACTTTGCAACAAGTTTAGTCTGCTTCAGCACAATACACTCTTTTGTGCTATGTGAGGGTCTTTGGCAGACCACACTGAATACCTTACCTTGCACTCGTTTTTTAGATGCCCCTCTCCCTTACAATTGGCACAGAACAACTCCTTTGACCCACTAGCATCATTTTTCTTGTTTGTGTCTTTGTCCCCATCTTCTTTTCCAACTCCTTGAGTTTGTAGAACCGTCTGCTTAGGTACATTGGCAAGCAAATACTGATATTGCTGTGCATTTTGTTCCTAATGCATAAATCCAAATTGGCCCAAACCCAAGCCAACATGAACCATTTGAGGGTAATTCTGGTTCGGCATAACAGGAACCCCCCCTTGCATCTGTAAATTGCTCCCCTGTCCACCAGGCTATTGAAAACTTGAATTACCTTCTATAAATCCATTACCAGCCCCAAAACAATTCTGCCCAAATTGCAAACTACCTTGCTGACCCATAAATCTAACAGAGTTATACCCTCTTGCCTAACCAACAAAATCATTCCCTTGTCCAATTGTATCCCCTTTGCTTCCAGATCCACTACTATTAGTCCCAGATCCGCCTCTGAAACCACCATCTCCCTCTCTATGGTCGAAATTATCCGGGTCTCTATGATCTCGCCTTCCAAAATCTCTGCTATAATTGTTCCCAAATGTAAAAAACGAGTTCCCTCTCCCCCCCAAACCACCTCTGCTCATCCTTAGATGCCAATTATCTTGTCTCCCAGCCATCCTTGCTTCTTCCGTCAACAGATCTTCTTCTACTTCTTCCCTCCCAGCTCTATCCGCCGCCACACTCTCGTTAGGGTTTGGTGATGACAAGAAGTGTGGCTCCGACAAGGGAGGGAGCGGAGTCCAGGTGTTAAATACCCCTAGCCTCCCAGTTTTATCTGGACCTCCACACCAAGGCATCCCACTAGGCCCAGCGCTAGTAGGCCCAAAGCCCTCATCAATAGTTCCTAGGCCCAATCCGCTGTTACTTCTCAAGCTACAGATCTCAAATATCTGAATCCCCCTCCCAATTGAGCTCAGAAGAAAAAACCTCTAACATCTCATTGATAGGTATTATGTTAGTCATCCCAATCTTTTCAAGCTCAGCATCTGTGATACATAATTTTTTTCCTCTAATCCCTTTCTAGTGAAATCATCTTCCCCTTCTATATCCATCAAATATCCAGGAAGACGACATAAATCACAAGCTTTGGGAATGAGATGCTTATTTTTTATCAATGCTAAATCAATTTTTTAGTTATGTATCTTCGCCAATCAGGAGAATTGACAGATATGAGATGATTCTAACAATCTACATCACCCCCAATCTATTCATCCTCTATTTTTTGTTCTCCATTTTAAGCAGCAAACTCTGAACACATTCGTTCATTTGAGATTTGATTCTATGATTCGCTCCTCTAATACGACCACATTGCATTTTCATATTGTTACCCCAACTCCCACTATCAACATTAGTAACTAGGTGAAGGTAACGAGAATCAATACGATCTGGAAAATCCAAACCTAGTTTGGAGCCACTAACGCCCCCCCCCCCATCAGAATCATCACCTGAATCCTCGCTAGCCAGCATCCAGAAGCGGTTGCTGGCTAGCGTAGAATTCATGCATCATTTCCCATGAGTTGCGCCGAGCGGTGGGGGGTCGGAGTCGCTGGAGGTGGTGCTAGCAGGGTGGAACGCCGAGGTGGAGCGGTCTGGGGCACCATCTCTGGCATGTGAGTCACCACCGGCCCGTCCTGGATCACAATCGGGGCCAGAGCCGACGCCGGCGCTAGAAGGGCTAGCACCGTCTCGTGGGATCTGAGTGCCCATGCCCGCATAGCCAGAGCCAATGGAGTGGTGTCGAACGAGACGAACGCTATCCACCTCTACGCCGTCGCCCTCACCGACGAATTGGCCTGATCCATCACCCACATGAGGATCTTTAGTGAGTGCCTGCGCCTCGCCCTGCCAAACAATGATTCCACCTCCTTTGTCAGGCCATCTCGAATCGCTCACGCTTCCGCTTGCAATTCCCCCTTGCCGCTGAACCAAGATTCGATATCGAGCAGACAGGCGCAATTCCTCACATCCCCGCCCATAAATATCCACATCTTCTCTTCCTCAATCTCCACCATGCTCACACTCGCTTGCACTAGGAGGTTTGGGAGCAGCCGCCTCACACTGACCAAGGTAGGGGAGGAAGTGGAATATAGAACGCGAGCGAGTTAACCCACGTGGCCAACCACTCGAATTAAATCCCCCATGGCCGGCACTTCTACTATGATCGGTCCCGAGGTGCGCGTCGCATCGCACTGCCCCGCATCCTCGATGCACACGAAGTGACACGGAAACATGACCATGGCGCACAAGGTCAGGAGCGCCCCTCGACTCACTCATGAGTCAAACCACACATACGCTCTCGTCAACGAGGAGCAGCTTCGTGGTAGAGGCGCAGCGCACCACCGCCACCCAGTGGTACATGAGTACTCCGACCGCCCTTAGGTTGGGATGTACCACGCCGGCCACCATCGATCGTTGGAGTCGCCCGGGGCATATCGCCAGAGACGTGTCATCCTCCTAGATAGATGCTTTTCAAGAAATGATAGATGTAGAAAGGTCATCTATAAAAGAAGCCAACTGATTGAATATATGAGGCGTCCCCTCAAAAAAAAAAAGAATATATGAGGCGAGGGAACAAATAGTGCACATAGTATTTCTTAGAATAACACTATTATTCTCCTTGTAGTCCTATGATAACTTCCACTATATGCAACTTCCTAACTGTTCATCACTTCCGCAAAAAGAAAAGATATACGCAAAAATCCAACAGTACAACTATAGTGGATTTCAATTCCTTGTAGGAAACAAACTGACAATAGAAGTACCTCATTACTTTTAAAACTGCTATTCAGAGGAGAAAAAGCCCGAAGAGGTGGTATTCGATAATTTCTAGTTTCTACTCACACAAGGTATAGCTGACCAAGGTAATCAACTGGAAATTGAGATTTCATAACACCCATGCTAGCCTAGCCGTTTGTGAAAACTAGCATCAGAAAAAAAGTGGCCTAGTTGTTTGTGAAAAGTGAGCGCTGTTTCTCATTCATAATACCCTTGCTAGCCTGGTCGTTTCTTTCTGACGCCCTTTGAATGCTTCTCAGCAGCAGTGCTCCTGCAGCATGAAAAGCGACATGGCTTTGAAAGCTCAATTGCACCGTAGATCTGCTGCAAAATGCATTTTTTTTCTAAGCGTCCTTATGCCCAGCGAATCAACGATCTAGTATTTAAATTCAGTTGAACATGTACAAGGTCTCCTGCCGTAAATCTTTTTCACATCCACAAGACATGGTGACTTGAAACCAATCTGCTATCTGGTTCCCAAGCCAAATCATTTCGTTTAGATCTTGTCATTACAGGATTACACTGAATCAAGCAAACTCATATTTTAAGCAGGGCACACCTATTCTTGCAGAGATTCAAGGGTTTTGTAAACAGCCAGTGGTTGTAACCATGTAGAAACGAACTGGCAGAACTACCTCATCGCCTTTGACAGTCCTACAAACAAGGGGTTGGGTTTGCTACTCCCTCCGTAAAAAAATGTAAGACGTTTTTATGCAAAAAAAGAAAAGAAAGCAAAACCAAAAATGTCTTACATTTTGGTACAGAGGTTAGTATTAAACTGCAGACAAGGTTAGTATTAATACACGGCAAATGCTGGGCAAGATATGACTTGCTGCATCCATAACCAGCACTGTTTGCAAGCATATAAGGAGCAAAGTGGCAAAGCATGTTATCATCAAACAAATCCCTGCAACACATTGCTATTTGTTGTATAACAAACACGAATACCAAATTAAATAAGAGTAAGCAAAGAGTAAGAGATAAGACGCTCACCGCTTCAAATAGTTGGTGCACACAATGATGGTGGGAAACCAGCATATAGTCGAGCATACATGAATGGTTTGCTAAGCTCAGCGAAAAACTGGACCTGCAATGTCTTGACGTTCACGGAAAAGCATCCAAATTTCAGCGCCTCTTGTGCAGTTGTGGTGTACAACGCTTCTAGGAGCAGGTATCCCCCGGCTACACCAACAAGAGCAGCATCGTTTACTGGCAATTGGATGACCTTGTTCAAGTGCCATTGGTTATTTCTCAGAATAGAATACGTGAGCCAAAATGGGTCACTATCAGGGTCCTCGCCATAGCCTTCAGTGAGCATTCCGAGCATCCCTTCTGCTGCCTCAACAAGGGCAAAACTGTTAGTCCCTCGTTCAGGTGGGAGGTTGATGGCAGACAACTCCATGGCACGCACGTCCAGCACAAGCAACTCGTTCTGAAAATGCAAATGCCAATAGAAGCATCCGTGGACGAATTGACGATTGGACAACCCACCATGAGAGTGGATAAATGAACCATCGGAAGCAGATGTAGCCTGACCACTCCATTGATCAAATGTATGCGCATGCCACTGTCCTTGTCCACCCAAAGAGGAGGAGAAGACGAGAATGAGCAGTTTAGTTGTGCATTGCGCCACGCACATCACCCTGAATGATAAAGGGTTCTCCTCATTCTGGCCAGGAGCAAGGAAGACCTCCAGATTGAGGAGGTCCAGTTGAGGTGCCAGCGCTTTCAGGTCGTCTGGAACTGCGGGCAGCAGGACATAGCGGTGGTGAACAGGGTCGCACACAGCTAGGTCCCTGACCCAAAATCGGCTGTCTTCTTTGTCCGGTGCGCCAGCGAGGAGGACGCGTCCGTCAAAGAAATCAACTGGACGCCAGGTATGGCCGGGTGTGGAGGGGAGGAAGGATGAGCAGGAGAAGTCGAAGCCAAGGAAGGCGCGAGCGGCGACGGCGGAGGGGTGTGGCGGCTGGGCTGGGCTGAAGGTGTCTTGGAGCAGGCCGAGGAGAGGCGGCGGGTGGAGAGCACGGTATCGGCGCAGGAAGGCGTGGTCGGCGATGACACGGCGGAAGGAAGGGCAGGTGGTGGAGGCGCGGGCGAGGTCTTCGGCAGCGGTGAGGCGGAGGAAGATTTCCTCGAGCATCACATCCGGTATATCGGCCATGGACGTCGCCGGCGGTGCCATCTGGGTGGTCGGGTGGGGATTCGGTTTGGCCTTCTAAAGGAAAGGCGTGGCGCTTCTCTTCCCACTCTCTCTTCTCTCTCTCTCTCTCTCAGGATCGGCGACTGCTGCGTGTTCGTGCGCCGCCGTGGGAGTGGAAGAGAAGCGACAAGGAAATGGGGATCGGGGGCTAGGGTTCAACCTTTTTTTTTTGGAAACTGCCTAGGGTTCAAGCTTATGCAAAGCTGGCTAAGTGGACCGGGCCAACCAGGGCGGCCCTTGAGCACGCCGGCACAGCCCGCCATGGGCCAGGCGTGGCACGCCCTGGGCCGTGCTTTGGCTGCTAGGCTGAGCACGCGGGCCAGCACAACACATCCCAGTTATCTTTATATATTTTGTATATATATGGCCTAATACTAGCCCGGTAGGTAAAAATAGGACCAAAAAATGCCCAGTAGGCTAAACAGCAGGCGGGCCAGCGTGCCGACGGGCCGGCCCGATTAGCAGCTGGGTCGTGCCTGGGTTGCAGGTTGTAGCACGCAGGCCAACATGACACGACCCGTATAATAATCGTGCCCCGGCAGGCCGTGTCGTGCCAGGCACAATTACGATAGGCTGGTCCGGCCCATTTGGCCAGCTTTGACCTCATGTGGGCAACAAGGGTATTTTGGTCCTCCGTTTTACACCCTATATTAGTACAGTACAAAAAATATGTTTAGATCGTGTAGAAAGGGAAAAAACTTGACTTTTTTTGGCAAAGCATTGCAAAAGAGGAATACCCATGAAAACTGCAAATTGCACACACCGTCACAACCAATGTGTTTAGTTGGATCAGTACATGTCATCGTGGAGGTGAGAGTGTTGTCGAAGTCATCACATTTAGGTTAGTTTGACCTTTGTTGGCTTTATCATGTTTTGTGCGGTGGTACAACACTGTGTATATTAACTTCTCTGTTTTTAGATCCTTGGCCCGCCTTGAATTTGTGAAATTGTGATGTTTTTCCCATGAAACGACTACCAGGAAATCCTTCCATAGTCACCCTAATGACCTTCGTCACCAAATCGTCACGACAATTTTCAAGACCTTTCATATAATCTCCAATGAGGATCGGTTGGAGCACGTAGGAGTGCCACCACTACATAAGCCATGTCTGACTAAGGCAAGTACGAAGCGGGGGAAAGCATTTTGAAGTACAAAAACGTTGGGGTGACATGCTGGTACTTAAAATAGGGTTCTTTCTTAGCGCTAATCTTGGCTTTTTCAGCAGTTAGTTATAGCGTGCCTTTCATTCTTCTCTCATTTCGGAAAGATTTGGCGGTATTTCTTATCATGACCTGGTTGAGAGAATATGAAACATCGGTGTAAAAGATTGAGTGGGATGGTTATAGTAAGGGGCAAACCAAGTGCTTCCGTGAAGATGCAAATCAATCAGATTGGAGACAAGGAACGGAGGAGAGGAGAAACTCAACGAAAAAGAAAAAGGGGACTCAACCGACTATCATGAGCGAAGCGAGGGACTTCCTTCTGATTGGATCCCTTGGGAGACATACAAAAATAGAATCAAATCTTCCATGATTCAGTACTAGCTAGAAAGTGTATGGACTTAGACTTTGATGACTCCCTAGTGGCCAAGGAAGGCAAAGGAAGCTTTAGCTTCATCCTTTAAACGTCTCATTTACTCTCTCTAGCTCTCGACTTTAAGTATTGGAATTTCAGGTATATTGGTCGACGAAAGTGAACATGTATCTTATCTTACGCCACTTACTCTAGTTTTACTTTGTGGAAGACGTCCGATTGAATGATCTCTAGTGGGTTCTATTACCAACTGTACACAGGCATGTTTCCTTCTTATTTTACCAGCCTCCATGGTTCCGTCAGTGTAGAGGAAAGTCATCAATCCCCTGAGACAAAGAAAAAAATGGCAAATAAAAGATACATACAAGAACACATCAACTATGCCATCTGAGCCTATCCACTTGCTAGTCAAGAAAAAAACGATATGTTTCATGGGCTTCTGTTGCTACTCTCTCCACAGTCGCTTTACAAGGGCAACCAAATTCAATAAACAGTTCATGCTAATTCATAGACCATGTTGGTTTCTATGTAAGAGTCATGTGAGACGCTTCCTTCTCATACACATCGGAAGCTACATTTGATCATCCACATTATAGAGTTTTGCAGGTGCTTAAGAGAATGTTATCCAATCAGTTATGACTTGACCATGGTCTAAGCTTAAATTGGTCCTGGTCCATAAAACCAAAGTTGTTGGGCAAGCGCAGAAAAGTCGTCTGAAGGGGAGTTATATTGGAATGGTCAACCCCGGTTAGGTCCCATGCCTAAAACAGGAATAAGGTCCAAACAAAATAGGGGTGATATAAGCCACTGCTCGCCTAAGAATGTACCAACGTAATGCCTACTATGGCTTTTCTGAATGAGGAAGTTATGGGACTTATCTTATATAACAATATATATGGTGGAATGATTCAAAAAAATGTGGGGGTCAAGGTGTATAATGCGAGCTCCACTTTCAGGCAATGAGTTAGCTTAACCTTTGATTTCTTAAGGTTTTAATACAGTCATGTGATATGTGTTGGGGAACGTTGCAGAAAACAAAAATTTTCCTACTCGTTTCACCAATATCATCTAGGAGTTCATCTAGCAACGAGTGATTAGATGCATCTACATACCTTTGTAGATCGCGCACGGAAGCGTTCAAAAGAACGGTGACGATGTAGTCGTACTCGACGTGATCCAAATCACCGATGACCAGCGCCGAACGGACGGCACCTCCGCGTTCAACACACATACGGGACGGGAGACGTCTCCTCCTTCTTGATCCAGCAAGGGGGAAGGAGAGGTTGATGAAGATCCAGCAGCACGACGGCGTGGTGGTGGATGCAGGGCGTCACAGCAGCAGGGCTTCGCCGAGACTACGAGGGAGAGACGTAACGGGGGGAGATGGAGGCGCTAGGGGCTGGTGTGAAATCCCTCCTCTACCCCCCACTATATATAGGGGTGCCAGGGGGGGCGCCGGCCCTAGTAGATGAGATCTACTAGGGGGGGCGGCGGCCAAGGGGAGGTTTCCCTCCCCCCCAAGGCACCTAGGGGTGCCTTCCACCACATGGACTCTTCCATGGTGGAAACCCTAGGCGCATGGGCCTATAGGGGCTGGTGCCCTTGGCCCATCTAGGCCAAGGCGCACCCCCTACAGCCCATGTGGCCCCCCGGGACAGGTGGCCCCACCCGGTGGACCCCCGGGACCCTTCCGGTGGTCCCGGTACAATACCGATAACCCCGAAACTTGTCCCAATGCCCGAAATAGCACTTCCTATATATAATTCTTTACCTCCGGACCATTCCGGAACTCCTCGTGACGTCCGGGATCTCATCCGGGACTCCGAACAACATTCAGGTTTCTGCATATACATATCTTCATAACCCTAGCGTCACCGAACCTTAAGTGTGTAGACCCTACGGGTTCGGGAGACAAGCAGACATGACCAAGACGACTCTCCGGTCAATAACCAACAGCGGGATCTGGATACCCATGTTGGCTCCCACATGCTCCACGATGATCTCATCGGATGAACCACGATGTCGAGGATTCAATCAATCCCATACGCTATTCCCTTTGTCTATCGATATGTTACTTGCCCGAGATTCGATCGTCGGTATCCCAATACCTCGTTCAATCTCGTTACCGGCAAGTCACTTTACTCGTACCGTAATGCATGATCCCGTGACCAGACACTTGGTCACTCTGAGCTCATTATGATGATGCATTACCGAGTGGGCCCAGTGATACCTCTCCGTCATACGGAGTGACAAATCCCAGTCTTGATCCATGTCACCCAACAGACACTTTCGGAGATACCCGTAGTCTACCTTTATAGTCACCCAGTTACGTTGTGACGTTTGGCATACCCAAAGCACTCCTACGGTATCCGGGAGTTATACGATCTCATGGTCTAAGGAAAAGATACTTTGACATTGGAAAACTCTAGCAAACGAACTATACGATCTTGTGCTATGTTTAGGATTGGGTCTTGTCCATCACATCATTCTCCTAATGATGTGATCTCGTTATCAATGACATCCAATGTCCATAGTCAGGAAACCATGACTATCTGTTGATCAACGAGCTAGTCAACTAGAGGCTCACTAGGGACATGTTGGTGTCTGTTATTCACACATGTATTACGATTTCCGGATAACACAATTATAGCATGAATAAAGACAATTATCATGAACAAGGAAATATAATAATAATGCTTTTATTATTGCCTCTAGGGCATATTTCCAACAGTCTCCCACTTGCACTAGAGTCAATAATCTAGTTACATTGTGATGAATCGAACACCCATGGAATTCTGGTGTTGATCATGTTTTGCTCTAGGGAGAGGTTTAGTCAACGGATCTGCTACATTCAGGTCCGTATGTACTTTACAAATCTCTATGTCTCCATCTTGAACATTTTCACGAATGGAGTTGAAGCGACGCTTGATGTGCCTTGTCTTCTTGTGAAACCTAGGCTCCTTGGCAAGTGCAATAGCTCCAGTGTTGTCACAGAAGAGCTTGATCGGCCCCGACGCATTGGGTATGACTCCTAGGTCGGTGATGAACTCCTTCACCCATATTGCTTCATGTGCTGCCTCCGAGGCTGCCATGTACTCCGCTTCACATGTAGATCCCGCCACGACGCTTTGCTTGCAACTGCACCAGCTTACTGCCCCACCATTCAAAATATACACGTATCCGGTTTGTGACTTAGAGTCATCCAGATCTGTGTCGAAGCTAGCGTCGACGTAACCCTTTACGACGAGCTCTTCGTCACCTCCATAAACGAGAAACATTTCCTTAGTCCTTCTCAGGTACTTCAGGATATTCTTGACCGCTGTCCAGTGTTCCTTGCCGGGATTACTTTGGTACCTTCCTACCAAACTGACGGCAAGGTTAACATCAGGTCTGGTACACAGCATGGCATACATAATAGAACCTATGGCTGAGGCATAGGGGATGACGC